CCCCCCCCCCCCCCCCCCCGACACATGTGATGACATGACTGAAGCCGCGCGCGTGGAACTCACTTTACAGCGAGAAGTGTTCCTTACATATGGGTTCTTCGCTTACCTAAGCAGCACCATCAACCCTCTTCATTTATAGTGCATTGAGTGAGCAACTGAGGAGAGAGTTCAAGGGCATTTTGAAATGTTTTAGTTAATTAAAGGCACAAGTAGGTAGCTATGGTAACGAAATGTGGCGACGAACGTAGCTTGAAATCATATCTTTTTACATTAGATTAATTTTTGCGTTGGTATTGAGAGACGAAATGTCAAACGCGTCCAATTTTGCCGTTATTTGATAATATTCAAGCGCTTTAGCTCGTATAGGGCAGATTTTTACGAAGACGCTCAAAATTTTTTTCCCAGAACTTTATTACTGCAACCTGTATTAATTCTTTAAACAAAAACAGCTGTATTCCACAGTTTATTTAATGTGTATCATCAGCGAGAGAACATCTCTGTCCTCTCCAAGGTGAAACAGTTTCTTTTTATGCATTTTTAAAAATTGTTGCGACATGAGTTGATTTAGTTGAATTCAAACGATATAAATACTGTTAAGCAATGTGCTAAAGCGACGATTTTTATATCTACGGCCAACCCTGTTAAAACTTGTTGGTTTCCACCGCAACACGAGAAAGAATTATGTCAACTTAAGGTTAATTTAGGACGTAAAATGACTTTTTGCCTTCAATATTTAGAAAGAAGATGTTCAGACAACATCCCCACGGTTTTTAATTAGCGTTCCAAATGTTTCAAGCAGAAACGTGAGGTGGTTCAAACAACTTCAAATTTTACTGACACTCTACTTCCGCGATCTTATATGCTTATCAAAAGAAAATACTTCCCCTCTACTATGCCGAAAAACAAATTTTTACCAAAAGTTGCAGTCTGGATCACAAAGTTTCCTTTGATTTTCGTAATTCTTCCTTTTTTCAGTAATTTTTTTGAGGAAATAAAATTGTTGAAGCTTTTTAAAGTATTTTCTCATTTTTGTGAACGACGAAGTCATCGGATAACGTTTGTTTAAATGCTGATGTGTACGAACAAGAAATGGCTAAACAGAATGAATAGCTTTTCTTTCACTCAAAAGGGATAAACCAAATATTAAAAGCAACTCATTAGCACTTATATAAAAGTTAAACAAGCGAGAACAATTAAAACAAACCTCTTTTAACATCAACGATAAAAAATACGTGGATGTTCCCGAAGTAATATAAAATCGATCTTTTTTTGCATTACAACTTCCAACGGTAAATGAAAACAACGTTGACATAATTACATAGTTCAACATTAAATATTGCTCAATATTTATTTACTGCAATGGGTAAAGAGATAAGATTTATGAGAGAATGACATCTGTTTTCATCCCAGCAGACAAAATCGCTCGCGCACCGAAGGTTTTAGCGGTTAATGATTCAAAAAGTCGTCAACGAAGACTTCGCAACGGTATAGTTTTTTTTTATCTTTTCGCTGAGCTTATCGACCAAAGGAGATGAGGAGAAACACCCTTTGCCTTGAGCTCACCACGAGGACGGAGGCGTTAGTTTGTACTGAAACAGTTTTGTTTGCTGTTACCAATGCTGTGGCCATCCTCGGAAATCTTCTCACTTTTTATGCTGTGTACAGAAACCACAGACTGCGCACGATTCCCAACATGTTCCTGATAGCTCTGGCTCTAAGTGATATTCTGATGTCTACTATCTGTATACCTTTTACAGTTGCAAGTCTTTTCCACGGCAGGTGGATCTTTGGTGACACAGTCTGTCGCTGGCAAGGATTTGATATATTTACATTTGGGACGAGTAGTGTTGGAACTATGGCAGCAATTGCAGTCAGCCGATATTTCTGTGTTGTTAATCGGGAAAAGTATCCCTCGCTGTTTAAGAAGCAAAGATCCGTGATGTACATTTTCATTGTTTGCTGCTTGGCTCTGGTTGGATCTGTGCCCATATTAGTCTTCAAAAATAACAGCGTTGAATTCCAGCCAGGAAAAGCAATGTGTCTGTACAAATTTGAAA